AATCATCAAGCAAATGCTGTGAAATCATATGCACAAGACTATCAACGAAGAGCTGTATTATACTAGATGGTCATCCTTTTATAATCCTCAATTTGATCATATCCGATCCCCATCTATATATATATATATACATACACATCTATACATACCCATACGCATATATAAACATGTAAATATGTATATGCTGTATATGCTGTATATGTTTGTCTTTCCTAAGTCATGCAGCTTTCACATGACTCGTGACGCATCGGTCTCCGACGACAAACTGGGTCCAGCACCAAGGCTTTTGTGCTCGGTCCCGACTTCTCGAACTTTTCCTCAGCATTGGGCGATTGGGCTGGCAATTGGACATATCCCTTGAGGCTTGCTGGGAAAATCATCCAACTAAATAGTTGAGTTTCCAAAAAATGCAACGCTTTTTTTTCTCCGCTGCGTTGTTTGGAATGGGATTACATTGATTACATAATATCAATGATTGTGATGGTTTTGCCTAGATACTATTCATGATTATTGATGGTTTTCCCATCATTACATAAACATCATCAATGATTGTGATCCATCAAGTCCTGTGAGCCAAATGCAACCACTGCTCCAATACTCAACCGATGGGATCCTCTTGAATCACCCCACTGGCACACATGGCACACATCCACCGCACTGGCAGCTCAGCACGAAGGAACCGGTCCACAAGTGGGCTCAACATGGTGACAATGCGCAAAAAAAAATGTCTGAATGTCTGAAGTCTATCACATTCTAAGCACCTGTTCAAGAGTTTTACTTGCTATATGCCCAAAATTGCCCAAATCAAAATGGATTGGGACGACCGAGCAGGGATCAAAATGCGGAAGTGCATTGTGTTATTATATGGTCGATCGGGGGTGAATTTTCATCATCCATGTAGTCTATAATAGTTCTGAATGCTTCATGAATCAGAACAATCATGCAACATAGAATTACGGTAATGGTGTATATAAAAATGTTTTATATATATATATATACATATGATTTTATATATGTATATGATATATATATATAATTATATATACACATGTGTGTATATATCCCTCTCCCCCTCTATCTCTCTCTCTCTCTATGTATGTTGTGCTAAATGCTCCCCGGATATTTCCGGGATCCCCCAATCCTGGCCCAGCATCACTTCGACGCACCACTTCCCCAGGGATGGCGTCGTTCATAGGATTCCTTGGTTTACGAAGCGATCGGGGAACCTGGGCAACCTGGGCCCAGGGGAGGCCATTCCCATATGCTCCATGGTGCTGGTATATTTACCAACATTTGCCCTAAAACTCACCCAAATTTAGGTAAATATACCAGCGCCATGGTTCGCATATGGGATTGGGCGGCCATGGGAAATCTAGACAGCATAGCTGATGTAGCTGTCGAGATCGCAAAAAAAAAACACGAATGGTGAGTCACGGTTAGGCGGTTTTCTCACGTACCAACTAAGATTGTCTAAGATTCACCCAGTAGCCTAGTCATTGTCAACTCAGTGGGCTCGGAAAATGTTTGTAAAAGCAGGTCCCCACCTATGGGGGTGGAGTCCAATTATCCCATCACCACAGATACCACCGTGTTCTATTCTACTACTGCTTGGGCCCATCGCAAGACTCACCATGAGCTTAGCGGTTATGAATGGACTATCCCAGCTTTTTTCTGGCTCCTATCGCCCATAACTGTATGTAAGTTATACCAGCCATATGAAGATACATATAATATATTATAATATATGAACTATGGTGATATGATATATCACCATGTGAGTAATACCCAATAGACTATTTCACATGTTACATATATAATAATTATCCTATTGACAGTATATCATATCCCACGTATAGCTGGAAAAATCTTCATAACATCCGGATGGAACTGGATAAGATGAATCTTTCATAGTGCCTAAATTCCTTCACTTCATCTCTAGGTGAAACAAACAAACAAAAAAAAAACGAAAAACAAATCTCGCGAAACAAGAACATGAAACAAAAAACACAGAAACATCTGCTGCTTCTCCCACTACATACGACATCTGCCCTGGCCGTGCGAGGGTCGCATCGCGGTCCTCGTTGCGGCTATCCTTCTTACCCGAGGCCCGGAGTACCGCCCCGGTCAGCGGGTCCCGAATCCTGCACGCTGAGACGATGCCACGATGTCCCAGAAACCATGGGAAACGGGTGGGTAAACCATGGAAAAAGCAATGGAAAAAAACTGGGTGAAGTGAAATGTCTAACAATAGATGGTTTCCGTTCATATGAATATTCCATAATATTCCTATGTTTCAATGGTTCATCTTTAAAGATTGAAGGTGATTTGATCCGAGGATTTCTGGATAAATATTGCCCCATCGCCGTGACCTGCTATCCACAGCCCTTTCGTGACCGGAACTGCTGCCTCACATGTCACACTGTGCAATGTTGAGAAATTTAAATGACCTTGGAGAGGCAACATCTCCCCATTATTCCGAATATATCTGCAAGCGCAGTTGGTGGTCAACCGGGTATTGTAAACCATGGATATCTGGCCGCATCACTGGCAGATCTACTCATCTACCCTCTGGTAATTTAACATAGCTATTGAAAATGGCCATAGAAATAGCTGATTTTCCCACTAAAAAGGTGTGAACGTTTACCAGGCCGGGTACTCCCTATATGACATCGCTCCTGCCGACCATCTGCGGTGACCGGCTTTCAAGGCCGGACGATGCCGGACGGCGTCACCGGTCCATGCACCGAAGCGCCGGGGCCGGTGGACCACTCAGGCACCGGTCGACATGCCAAGTCTTGAGCTGCAAAGCCCGCGGGGGAACGGTGGAGGACTGAAATGTCCTGCATCTTGGCCATAGAAATTGTTGGTTTAGCATGATTTAGCCATCAAACATGGTGATTTTCCATAGTTACCCAAACCCAATCCTAATCTGGTTGGTGGTATACCTACCCCTCTGAAAAATATGAAAGTCAGTTGGGATGATGAGATTCCCAATATATGGAAAAATAATCCAAATGTTCCAAACCACCAACCAGGATGGCTAATATGATGGTTTAAACATGATACCACTAGGGCCCCCTGGAACTTCGAAATGGAACAGTGATCTCTTAGTGGTCCTGGGGCTGCCCAAAAACATCCTTTTGCGAGTGTGCAACCCAGGGCTACAAATTGATTCAAATGGACTCGTAATCTTTACTCACCATCTGGTTTTAGCAGGAGCCAGTTCTGACATATACCCATTTATGATGTTTATCTTTTTTCTTTAATTAAATTCTTTTCTTTTTTGTCTTCATGTATTGCTAATCCTGCTAATCACCGATGGCTAGTATTTGAACTTCTGGCCTATCCATTGAGCATCTATAAGGTAGATCCGCAGAGCTCAGCGGCTTCATTGTGTTTGAAATCTTTACAACGGACGGCCACCCACTTATGTTCGTTTGTTCAAAAAGGAAACCCATTAATCCGTAGGAATATCTACCATAAATACTAATTAACATTAATTAACTTAATATTAGTCACCGGCTTTGCCATGGGCTACGACCTATGCCAGTGGGAGGATGAAATAGTCACCTTCCCGGGATCTCATGGGATCTCCCATTGAGGCAGCTGACCAAATGCTGCAGCAAGGCAGCCAAAGCACAATACGCCTCGCGGCACATGGGGTGTCTGCTAGCGACTGACATGATGAGTTACAATTATTGAATCGTGGTAGAACAATACAATATGATACAATATGCATCATAGTCTGCGACATCAAAGTTTATATTCCATGACAGGGGCCCCTGATTGCAATTATATTTGAAGTCGTGTTTGCGATATTTTGAGTAGGACATGACAATCATGACGTATTCCCCTCAGGACTTACACCTATGGTCAAATGCATGCCCTGAAAGGCATCGTCCAAGGCCCGTTTTGTTGGAACAAAAATGGTGAGCCCAAATAATGACCATTAATAGTTATACATTTATTTATATCTATCTATCTATCTATCTATCTATCCATCCACAGTATCTACAGTATCTATAGTATCTACAGTATCTACAGTATCTACAGTATCTACAGTATCTACAGTATCTACAGTATCTACAGTATCTACTCTATCTATCTATCTATCTATCTATATATATATATATGTATATATATATACAGTATATGGGGGGTTCCAAAAAACACGGGTACCCCAAAATGGCTGATTTATAATGGAACAGCCTCTTATGGATAACTGGGGGTACCCCCATTTCATGAAACCTCCCAGGTTGGCTCCTCGGCCCAGCCCACCTGTGGTTCCAAGGATTCCTTCACCACCTGAGGCGAGTTGAAGGCCTGCCTTCATTCGCAAGGCATATTAGAAACATCATCAAATCATCATCAAATCATCATCCGGTTGGTGGTGGAATAAACATCTTGAAAAATATGAGTTCGTCAATGGGAAGGATTATCCGTTATGGAAAAAAAAACATGTTCCAAACCACCAATGAGAAATTAATGAAATTTGTGTAAACTAGTGTCAAGGTGGTGTAAACTACCTTAACTGGAGCATCTCTACGTGTGTTCAGCGATGCATATATGATTTAGATGCATTATTTACCCTCTGGTAATTTAACATAGCTATTGAAAATCACCATTTTTAATGGGAAAATCCACTATAAATGGCCATTTTCAATAGCTATGTTAGTTTACCAGAGGGTAGATGAACTTCGGAAACATGCCACTGATGCCGCTGTTTCTCAGTACTACAATGCCCAGGTCACCTTCTGCCACAATGTCCCGCTGTGATAGGTTGAGGGCAAGATCCTTGCAATGGAAAGTATGACCAATACTGACCAATGACTAATGACCCCTCAAAAATCAGCTGTACTTATCTTCTATTCTGGTGGATTATAATGGATTATATAAGCAGGGCTGCAGTAACAATAAATGCTGTGTTGTCGTTTTGTCCTGTTCAAATACACGAGAAAAAATCTATCAATGGCCTCAATGGGCCCACGGATGCCTGGCCTCTTTAGGTAGGTCCCTGAAGAGCAAGTGCAACGCCTGGTTGGTCACTTGAAATGCCGAAATTCAATGGGGACGTGATTTTTTATAACCCACAAGAGATTGGGATACATCTAATCTGTCATTGTCTCCCATTTGATTTCTTTATCTGTTTTTACCTATCTATCTGTCTAGCCATTGATCTGTCTATCTCTGTGTCTAAAAAACTATTCATTTTATTGTTCTTTATGTTTATCTATATTTAGCTATCTATATGCAACCATCTATTTATCTATTTATCTACCTACCTACGTAAGTAGCTATCTACCTATCTACCTACCTACCTATCCTTTTGCCCAATCAATTTATATTCAGAATCCATCAGAGATATCTGAAATATCACAACGTAGAACGTGTGCATATGCACAAACTAGTAAACACAATGGAACGGAAATCTGATAGGTAGGATATCTCAGAGATAATTGCGGGTTTCAACCCACAAAAACAAAAACACAAAACAATTAATACGCGCAAGCTTCGCAAAGCTCTGGACATTGCCAATTTGCCATAACTTCTCGCACCGTCAAACCATCTAAACACAAAATACATCTCGACAAGCTGGGAAGAGCCCCCCACCTGGTGAAAACTTTCGTGCAAGTGGCTGGTGGCCGCTTTCTGCTAGACATGGAATGGCCTGTTTCTAGTGGAAACTAATCTTCCAAGCCCCTATTTGGCGGGGTCTATGTTCATTTACAGGAATATTCTGCGCAGGTAAAGATGTAATTTCTTCAGTTTCGCCCCTTGTCATAACCCATGTTCCGGGCAACAATTGACAATGTGGATACATATGAGATCACTGATGTCCGCAATGCAACCACTGAAAGACCTCACGTACTATTACTAGATGTTGCATTGCCAAGGAACTCATGTTTGACAAAGCCGAACCCTGCCCTTCAGCAAGACCAACTAATCAGACCTCTGGATGGTTGATCAGTTTATATTTGGTAAAGATTATAATTGATAATAGGCGTTCCCATGTTTCCATTATCCTGACCATTATTTAGATTGTTGATTCAATAAGGGTTTGAAAAAGAGATATAGTGATACTTTAACTGTTGACAATCCATTAAATCTATGATATCTCCACTTAGTGGCCATAATCTGGGATAAATAATCGATTTACGGGATAATAAACCAAGACATATAATAGACATTACCATTATAGATAGTACTTATGATTCAATAAATACATAATAATAATATTGTTAACAATATTATATATAATAATACTAATACGAATACAATTAATAAACAAAAAACAAAGTAATAAGAATAAGAACAATATAATAGATAATAATAACAACAATAATAATAATTGCTTCTATAACCAAAAGCACATGCTTCATTCCTATGTATTACAAAAGGTAAACTAGATATGCAATACATATTACCAAACAATAAACCAGATATATTACCACTATTATTAAAAACGAACCTATCATATCTCTGATCAATAAACCATACCACACCTATTTTCGTGGAAAATAAACTATTCATGGTTTGTATAATATTAGTGAAATACTGGTATTGTAATAATATCACCAAGAAAACAATAATAGACAATAAATTAACTGTATCATATGAATCAATATGATATCTATATCTATGCCACTAAATGCTATATCACCGAAACCTTAATACCATTTTTACCATATAGATACATCAATTATCATTAGATATCTATTATATATATAAATACTATCATTAATATACCATCTGGTTATCTAACATAGCCATAGAAAATCACCATTTTCTAGCTGGGCAAACCATCTATAAATGGACCGTTTTCCATGGCTATGTTAAATAACCAGAAGGTACATTAATATATTCTATTAATCCACCACGAATGCGAAAACACAAGAACTTCAGCTAGGTGCTATTAATCTGGGTAAATTATAATAATTCACTAACCTGAATCTTGCGGCCATTTGGGGATGGTTTCCCTTATTAACCATGATTCCAGGCTTCGGTCGCAGTGAGGTCGTTATATTTTATCCAGATTAATCTATAGATTTTTACTATCATTAATAGATATCTAATAGATATACCATATATATAGAGGTAGCCTTATAGATACTAATCATATATATATAATATATATATAGACATAGATATCTTTTATATATCATATAATATGCTATTAATCTATAGGTTTTTACTATATATAGATATACATGAGATACCCTCTGGTAAACAAACATAGCTATTGAAAATTGCCATTTATAATGGATTTACCCATGAAAAAAGGTGGTTTTCCATAGCAAACTGTTAGTTTACCAGAGGGTATATACAACGGGAGACTCTCCTGTTGGAACCTCCAAGACTTCGGCCGGCACCGCGGTGGGCGACTGGACCAACAGCAAGGCGCCCACCTGGGGAAATCACCGGAAGTTGCATGAAATGGATATTTAAAAAAAAAAACATGTGGAACACATTGATAGTCTATACATATAATCTAGACATAAAATCTATACATTATATATATATATGTGTGTGTGTTATATATTCATAAGTGTTTTTCTACATGTTCTATAGTTTGTTGATATAAGTCATGAAAGAAGTCTGAGAAATTTGGATCGAGGCAAAAGTCTATCAGGCTGTGCCATTGAGGTCATGAAAAACTCACGCCCCAAGCATTGACGTTTGTCGCTGCCGCAAGATCAGCGCGTTTGGCGTGAATCGTTGTTTTTTGTGGGTCTAAAACCTGCAGGTTTTACGTGGCGGCTGCATTCTACCGATGGTTGATGGTTTTAAGCCATCTGACATAGTCACTAGTCTTTGGGGATTACAATGGATTACATCCCAGATATTGAAGATTGAAGATAAACATATTGAAAGCCACCAACCAGTCGCAATTAACATCCCAAACATTCCCAAACTATGCGGCCAGAATCTCGGTCCCTTTGGAATATTGACCCATTCAGCGGCAAAAATGATGGCTTCGAACTTGGACACAAAAGCATCGAATTTCAGCCAATCATAGTTTGAAAAAGGATATGTCAACTTCATAAATGAAATCATAACCTGATTCAATCAAATTATTGAGGGGAGGTTTTGCTTTGATCATCATTTATTGGGTTTGATCACATTAACTTGTCGCAAGTGTCCAAATAATATCAAATATAACGGGTTGGTGGTATACCTACCCCTCTGAAAAATATGAGTTCGTCAGCTGGGGTTACTATGCCCAATATATGGAAAGTCATAAAAGCCATGTTCCAAACCACCAACCAGATCAAATATAGGGGGGTCCTGAAAAATTTCCCATCATCCAATTCTGTGAGTAAATATTGAACAAATGATTTTCCCAGCTATAAACCTCCATTTATTTTGGGGATTTTTCATGGCTATGTTAGTCATAACCAGATGGTAATTGTATGGGCACCGGGTACCTGAAGCTAAGCCCAGCCCTCCCTACCCTGCTCTGGGCCCACCATTTTGATTCCGAAGCTTCGACGCCTTGGAGTTGCTGAGAGCTACCCAGCTACACCGCTGGAAGCGGGCGGGGTGAGAATTTTTAAGGCATGTTATCAGCCATGGCCTATTTTTCAGGGCTAAATTTCAGGGGATATCCCCCTAAAATATGGCCAGAAATATGGTACTAACGTACCTCCATCTGTTGGATCCTGGACTTCCCATTGAGTTGAAGAAATACTGTCTGTCGGTTATGGGAAATATTGGGAAACTGGCAGCAAGTTCCTGTGAATTTGGACTGACAACTCAGGAAAAACGACCATGCAGTGAGCAACCATACAAGGTGGTTGATAAGTCTGTTACTTCGGTTGCTAGGAATCATGGTAAACATATATATATAATAGAGTTTATAAAGCAACTTAAAGCAACAACATCCAACAACAACCACAACTAGGGAGGCACCGCCTTGTACCTTAATTTACGAATTGCTTGTTCTTTTTAAACAAACCACAAACAGTTGGGCAAGAGAATCCCCAACTCCCCAACTGGCTATGAGTCAGAACTGGCTACTAACAATGAATGGTTAATACTACATAAATAGACTTAAAGATGTGATCCCCCGGGGTTTGATTTTTGACACCTACAGGATGGGGCCAAGATAGCGTTCAGTTGCCCGAAAAAAGTGGCTGAGTTCTATGGTTTATATGGTAGATATAACGAACTAGTTCATGGTGGTTTTCTTATGGATAAACCAACAAACATAACTGCGGGGCCCCATCCTGTAGCTGACCCCAGGGGTTTCCAGGGTTTGTTGTCTGTCCTCATCTTGCAGTTCTCACGGTCCCAAAGGACCCAAGGGACCATATCTTCATCAACTGGGACTCCAACAACTCGATGAGACGCGCTTCGTGCTCTTCCTGGCCATGGCTGAATTCGAAGTCACGCCCCGCTCGGTAGCCAAGAAAAAAAACATACAAATGATAATCATTGTTATAAGTTGTAGCAACAATACTACATTACTGATAAAGCTAATAACAATAATGATAGTAAATACCAATTATAGATAATTATACTACTAAAAAACATTAATGATAATAGAGACATTAATTAGTATCATAGCTAACCACTGGTATACTGGTATACCGCTGGTAAACTGCGAAGAAAGTCTTCCAAAGCAGGTGTTCAGAGATTGCGATCAACCCTGTTCGTTTGGTCGCCACAACTCGCTGACCAAAAAAGGAATGAGGATGGAAACAACTGGCAAAACAAATGGGAATAGAACCAACAATAACGAGACAAAGTGTTTACAAAGTGCATATGGCATGCAAACAACCTGATCAATTAGATCAAAACAATGATATCAACAAAAACATGGAATAGGACCAAAATTCCGAATGAAACCCCAAACGAAAAGGCAGTTTCACTCACCTTTCAATGAAGTTTCAAGATTGTTTTCTGGGAAACCTCATAAAACCTTCGGCCAAAACCTGCTTTTGACGGCCAGCCCGGCCAGCCCCAAATCCCTGTCACAAGCTCTTTGGTCTGTGGTGCCTTCCGTCATCCTAGTCTTGTGAAACCATATCCCACAAGTTCATCAGTGTCCCTTCATAAAAATCGTGAAATACAACCTAACCCCCAAAAAACCAATGGCACTTTCCAAGGAAAAAACACAAGGGTAAGTCCAAAAGCGAAAATTCCATAGAAACAACCCATCCTTCTTTGCTCCCGCCTGTGTGGCTTCCAAAGTCGCACGGTTCCGCCGAAGCACCTCAGGGCGTTCCCAAAGCACACAGCAGAAATTGCAGAAAAAATGGTGTGTCTGAAAATGGGAGGCAAACCTCAATTTACGGCCATGTCAATGGAAAAAATGATGATATAACCAATGGATGGAATGGGATAGCCTCTTTTCCATTCTTTTCCGGGAAATCATGTTTTTCAGACAAGTGAAAAACTATCGAGGTGTTGACTTGGTAAAGCATCTACCATGACCAGTGATTCGTCAATGGGAAAAACCACCCTGGCAAGGTGCCCCAGTTTATGAGCGCTGGTGGACATAAATGGAAATACGGAAAAACAAATACAAGGCATCTGTGTGCATCTGTTGGATTTAATGTATGTATGGATGGATGTATGGATGGATGTATTACATTGTATTACAATGTGTTACAATGTATTACAATGTACTAAAATGTATTGCGACGTATTGCGATGTATTACAATGTTTGTATTACAATGTTTGTATTACAATGTATGTATGTATGTATGTATGTATGTATGTATGTATGTATGTATGTATGTATGTATGTATGTATGTATGTATGTATGTATGTATGTATGTATGTATGATGTATGTATGTATGTATGTATGTATGTATGTAATGCAATGCAATGTAGTGCAATGAAATACAATGTAATGTAATGTCATGTAATGTCGTGTAATGTCTGGTATGGTATGGTATGGTATATGTATGTATGTATTGGTATATGTATGTATGTATTGGTGTATGTATGTATGTATGTATGTATGTATGTATGTATGTATGTATGTATACGGAGTACTGTATATATATATACACATACATAATTATACATATTTGATGATATTTACATCTGTATGTTTGTGGTTTGTGGGTTTCATTGGGTTCAGAAAGCAACAAACATAACTGGCGGAGAACCACCTTAGATGATGGGAACAACTCTGCCCCGGTGCGCCGGTACTTCCCATGGGTCGAGTGAGTGATAGGTCAACTGACCCTTGCTGTAGGCCGTCTTTCCGATTTCTTTCCAACTGTAAAGGGCCGGTCAAACTAAGGTCTTTTACCCAGTTTTCCTGCATGTGTTGTCTGAATCAGGTCTGAGAGTCTGGGATTGCGTTTGTTTTTTGTGTGATGTGCGGTCATTCTAAGTGCCAGTCATTCTAAGTTAAGGGTCTAAAATTTGGGACCCATCCGTCCATTCTAAGTTTCAGTCCGTAGTTAATGGAATGATTTACGTAGTACCACCAAAAACCTTTGGGACGAGTGTGCAGCGCCTTGACCAAGCTGTAGGAGGGTGATTTTGGGATGATTCCCCTTACTAACCAACGGTTCTAAAACCCCTGAATCATTGATTTTAATAGGATTTTCCACTATAAACCATCCATTTTGGGGTACCTCGATATATGGAACCCCCATATCCTCTATTTCTTTCCGTTTGATTAGCCACGGATCGGTGGAATTTTTCAGGGCCGCCCTGGACCCCTGGGCCCCCTGGGCCCCCTGGGGCCCCGACATCTGCACATTGCCTGACGGACCGAGGTTGGATGGCCACAGAGACACCCAAAAGATCATATGCCCTATAGATTCCCTAAAATTGCCACTTTTGTGGTATATGGTGTTTCTAATTTTTTTGTTTTCAGACAGATCCACCATAATATGGAACCATAGTCAACAAAGTCACGCTTTATGATATAACTACAAATGAGTTGAGTCAACTTATAGCTGTGAGGCCCCAGCTTGTATACATTCGAAATATCTGGCTGAATTACAATAAACGGTCACCAGAAAAGCGATGAAAATAGCTGAAAACAAAATTGCTCGCCGCTTAGGGATGATTCCTCCAAGCGTCATGAAAAATACAAAACTGGTTGGTAGTTTTAACCATCTTGAAAAATATGAGTTCGTCAATGGGAAGGATGACATCCCTTTTTTATGAAGTGGAACATAAAAGCCATGTTTGAAACATTTTGAAACCACCAACCAGACAGCTATAATGTTTCATAACCATAAAGCCATAGTTTTCACCCATAGATTCCTCCAATGGGTTAATTTTAAGGATGATTTGGGGGTACCTTCATTGAATGGCGTCCAATCTCCATTGGGATCATGATTCAATTCCCCTAAAAAACCATCTGGTCAACGTTTACAGTTTGCGAACTGGAAAATTGCCATTAATGGCCATAGAAATAGTTGATATACCATGATATACCCATTAAAAATGGTGATTTTCCATCGTTTTTTGTATGTTTACCGGGTATTCCCCTTAGACGTTCACCATCCTTCCACGTCGCGACGTCGCGAGGTCAGCTCAGTCAGCACCTGATCCACTCTGCATCCGCGCTCTCCTCGCGTTCCTTGCGCAGTAGCAGCTCCAGGGCTGTGACCTCGACGGAGCTCAAGGCCGGAAAGCTCGAAAAGTTGAGTAAGTTCACACATTACACGTTACAAATTAGTCATGATCAAATTATGAGAAACATATTATATATACATATGTATATATATATATATACTTATATATATATATACATTACATACACGCATACACAAACCTGAAAAAACAAAACACGGCCAATGATTCACATGTCCCAAAAAAAAATGGTCTGATGCATAGCTCTCTGGGGCTCCAAACGCCCTCACGTCCTGCTGCATCCGGACAGGCACCGTTCTCCAATAGGACCTCGGAAGATCTGGAGGATCTGCCGGGATGTCATCAAGATGGTGCTTGTATTGTACCTGAAAAATATTGGGAATATATATATATATAATAAACATATAGTTATATAATATATTAAATGCTACTATAATAATAATTATTATTTATAAATAGGTATATTAGCACAAAATCTCATAAATTGTCAGGAAATTCGGCCAGCGCAACTGGGATTCAACAATCAAACATAGGGATTTACCAAATGCAGAACGGACCCTTTGCGTTTCTATCAGTGGGGGGGGTCCTCCAGCACAGTGCCATTTTTAATGGGGATAATGGGGATAATGATTTTTGCCATGGATGTACCATATTTTCATGCGTCACATGCGGATCCAAGGAGAGAGAAAGTGGCATCGTCCACCAAAAGATGTCGTCCACCCGCAAGATGGGAAACCTGCTGAGATTGAAATGTGCTGATGCTTTGTCTGCTCTCGGATGGTATGATAAAACTGAGGCCTGAAAAAAATGCTGGATTTAGCCCAAAAAAGTCTGCCAAAAACAGCAAAAACTAGCAAGAATAGATGCCTTCGACCGCCCAACAAATCACCAAACTAGCAAATCTGAACAGGCAGGGCATGATTGCACTATTCAAAAACAAATCCCAGCAATCAAGTTCAAGCAACTGCAATTTCCATAGATTCATCTCCCCATAGACTCATTTCCACATTTTTCTGTGGCCAGGATTCCAGGATCAGCTTGAATCACTAACTCTACCCTTTGGTAATCAAACGTGGCACGGAAATTCCCAATTAACTAATTTACAAGTTCGATGTTTTTTCCGTTTAGTCTATCTATGATGGGTTTTCCAGTAAGCCACGATTGCTTACCAGAGGGTGGCTCTAGGTTTCTATATGTTTTTACATGTTTTCATGCATCTTTGACCAATCCTTCTACTTGGCTCTGGCTGCCCTGGCTCTTCCTGCGAGTAATACTGCCCCAGTCAGAAGATGGTGGAAGCAAAGCCCAATCATAGGCATACGTTTAGCATGTCGAATCATCATTCAAATCTTCCCGCTTTGGGGGTGTCCAATCAGTTGTCCAATTGGGTTTGACTCAAACAGTGGACAAGAAAACAAATCATCCCAACCCAATCCGATGTTCTATGTTACATGATGTTCCATGTTCAAGTGCAAAGCATGTCTGCTTTTTGAAATGATGGTGTTCGACCCTAAACTTTGAAACCTTGTGCCGGTCCCTGTTTCCATCAAGTGATGCAGCAACGGTCGTGCCGCGGGAGAGTCGCAATGGCAGTGGCCAATTGAAAGGGCAGCACATCGAACAGAAAACATCCAGCTGTTATGTTTTACAAATAATTTACAAAGAAGCACAATGGCAAGGCCACAGGTGTCTGAAGAAATCTGAAGCACAAATAATTTACAAATAAGGCCATCGAGGATTAGAATCATTGGACGGCCACAATTTATGGCCCCAAATCTGCAGCAAAAAACTCGGAAAGAAAAAAAACATATTCGGCAATAAACACCTAGCTTCCCGTGGATTTTCCTTTGACCAATCCATTGAAACACATTTTTAAGGGGGCTTCT